CTGCCTGCCTGATCGCCCCTAACCACTCTGCCTGCCTACACGATTGCCCCTAACCTCTCCCCGGGTGCAGGGCCAGCCACAGTGAGGAACTGTGGTATTCTGGTCTCTGGTCATTCTGGTCGTTCCACCATTTCTGTTGCTGGGCTTTTATTATACAGGATAATGAAATCAGAGAAAGCGATACTAAAAAAAAAAAAATCCCACTTACCATTGCACCAAAAAAATTAAGATATCTAGGAATAAACTTAACTAAGGAGAGGAAAGACCTGTACTTGGAAAACTATAAGACATTGGAAAAAGATAGAGGAAGACATAAACAAATGGAAGAATATACCATGTTCATGGATTGGTAGAATCAACATCATTAAAATGTCCATACTACCCAAAGCAATCTACAGATTCAATGCAATCCCCATTAAAATAATAACAGTATATTTCAAAGATCTAGAACAAACTCTCCAAAAATTCATCTGGAATAAAATAACAAAACAAAGAGCCGCAGCAATTCTGAGAAAAAAGACCAAAGTTGAAGGGATCACAATACCAGATATCAAGCTACATTACCAAGCCATGGATCTCAAAACTGCCTGGTACTGGCACAAGAACAGACATATAGACCAATGGAACAGAACAAATAACCCAGAAATTGACCAAAGCCATATTGCTCAATTAATATTTGACAAAGGAGGCAAGAGCATACAATGGAGTCAAGACAGTCTCTTCAATAAATGGTGCTGGGAAATTTGGTCAGATACATGCAAAAAAATGAAACTAGATCACCAACTTACACCATACACAAAATCAAACTCAAAATGGCTAAAGGACCTAAAAGTAAGACAAAATAACCATAGATATCCTACAAGACTCCATAGGCAGCAAAATAGCAGACATACGTCATAGCAATATCTTTACTGACACAGCTCCTAGGGCAATGGACTAAGGAGAAAATAAACAAATGGGACTACATCAAAATAAAAAGCTTCTGCACAGCAAAAGAAACCATCAATAAAACAACAAGAAAGCCTACTGCATGGGAGAACATATTTGCCAATGTTATCACCCAAAATTTACGGAGAACTCATACAACTTAACAAAAGGAAGATAAACAATCCAATCAAAAAATGGGCAAAGGACTTAAGTAGACACTTTATGAAAGAAGACATACAGAAGGCCGAGAGACATATGAAAAAATACTCAAAATCACTAATCATCCAAGAGATGCAAATCAAAACAACAATGAGGTCCCATCTCACACCTGTCAGAATGGCTATCATCATCAAATCAATAAAAGACAAGTGCTGATGATGATGTGGAGAAAAAGGAACCCTCGTGCACTGCTGGTGGGAATGTAGACTGGTGCATCCACTTTGGAGAACAGTATGGAGTTTCCTCAAAAATTTAAAAATGGAACTCCCATTTGACCCAGTAATCCCACTTCTAGGACTATATCCCAAGAAACCAGAAACACCAAACAGAAAGGATATATGCACCCCTATGTTGATAGCAGCACAATTTACAATAGCTAAGATTTGGAAAGAACCTAAGTGCCCATCAGCAGATGAGTAGATTAAAAAATGTGGTATATCTACACTATGGAATACTACACTGCTATAAAAGAGAAGGAACTTTTACCATTTGCAACAGCGCAGATAGAACTGGAGAGCATTATGCTAAGTGAAATAAGCCAGTTGGAGAAAAATAAATATCACATGTTCTCATTCATATGTGGGATATAATGATCAACATAATTTGATGAACAAAAATAGACCCAGAGACAAATGGCAGGGGAGGTGGCGGTTGGGGTTAGAGAGCAACCAAAGGACTTGTATGCATACATATTAGCATAACCAATGGATACAGACACTAGGGTGTGAGGGCTTGCCCAAGATGGGAATGGTTGGGGGGGAGGTCAATTGGGGAAAAAGGAGACATGTAAAACTTAAGATAATTATATTATTATTATCTTAAGTTTATATATATTCATGCTTACCAAGAGGGTAAGCATGAAAAAAAAACAATTCTTTTCTATTTATTAAAATCAATCCTCAACCAATTCTCCTTTTCCATAGCATAAAAAGGTTTATGCATTTTAAAACATACAGCCATTTTCTTTTAAACTAGTCTATTTTCTAAACGTTTCAGTATTTCATTAGTTACAAATACATTTTCTTGATCCTAAGTTGTAAGAACCAACCAAAAGTCTTTCCAAATTATAATATACTAGTGGCCTGGTGCATGAAATTTGTGCACATTAAAAGGTGATTAATTAGAGGAAATATTTTAATATTGCTATTTTCCCTTTCTCTATAATAGAAGTGTCAGAAAAGAAAGAAAATTAGTAAAATGTATATGAAAATCTTCCTCCTGTCAGAGTTTGGGGTGCACCACAGGACCCAGAGTCAAGTCCCCATCCACTCACGTGTGCCTCAAAATCGCATGAGACCCAGACCCAGCCGCTGCCCCCCCCCATTGGGCTAGATCCAGACCTTGCGGGTCCCACCCTTGTCAAGCCCCGCCAGGTGGGGGGCGCAGCCTAGGTCCCCTGGCCTGGCACCAGGGCAGGGGGGCACAGCCTCAGGTCCCTCAGTCCGGGCCGGGGCAGGGGGCATGGCCTGAGGTTCCCTGTCAGGCCCTGCAGGGGAGGGGGAGCGGCCTGAGGTCCCCCAACCTGGCGCTGGGGTGGGGTTTTCGGTCTGAGGGTCCCCCGTCAAGCCCTGCTGGGCAGGAGGGGGGGTGTGGCCTGAGGTCCCCCGGCCTGGTGTTGGAGTGGGGGGCACCACCTGAGGTCCTCCGGCCCAGCACCAGGGCAGGGGGCGCACCTTGAGATCCCCCGTCAAGTCCCGCTGGATGGGGGGCGTGGCCTCAGTTCCCTTGGTCTGGCGCCAGGGCGGGGGGCATTGCCTAAAGTCCCCCGGCCTGGCACCAGGGCAGGGGGCGCAGCCTGAGTTTCTCCAGCCTGGTGACGGGGCTGGGGGAGCAGCCTGTGGTCCCCTGGCCCAGCACCGGGGCAGGGGTGTACCTTGAGGTCCCCTGTTAAGCCCCTCCAGGGCAGGGGCATGGCCTCAGTTCCCCTGGCCTGGCGCTGGGCGGGGGGCGCGGCCTGAGGTCCCCTGGCCTGGTACCAGGGTGGAAGGTGCAGCCTGAGGCTCCCTGTCAAGCCCCAATGTGGGGGGGGCACGCGGCCTCAGGTCCCTGCTCATTGCTCCTTAAGGCTCGTTATGGGAACTCGGCCTCAGCTGTGGGTGCAGCCATCCTTGTGGTAGGGGGATGGTTAATTTGCAAGTTTCTCTCTTATTATATAGGATTTGGAATTATTGGCAGAGACTAACAAAAACAAAGTTGACTTACCAACAAATATATAAACTAATCCAAGTAATGCCACTAAGGCTGTAATACCCAAGCCTGAAAGCAGAAGAGAACCATGCACTGGGATGCACTCTGCAAAAACATATAAAATTTTATATTAGAAAATCACATGAAATAACTGAACTTCTTAAAAGAATCAATAACGGAAATAACATTAAGTTTTAGAAAGAGTAATTATTTTTCTCATTTTCAAGAAACAAAAATTGCTGCCCGGCCTGTGTAGCTCAGTGGTTGAGCATCAACCTATGAACCAAGAAGTCATAGTTCAATTCCTGATCAAGGCAAACCCTGGTTTGTGGGCTCGATCCCTAGTTGGGGGCATGCAAGAGGCACCCAATCAGCGATTGTTTCTCATCATTTATATTTTTTATCTTTTTCCCCCTCTCCCTTTTTCTCTGAAATCAATAAGAATATATTTTTAAAAAGAAACAAAAATTACCTACATTTGTATACCCATTATTAACTCAGTGCAATGATTCCAAATTCCTTTCCCTGTACGGAAAGAAGAGCCGTTGCTTGCATGGCATGTACCTTATCAAGTCTAGACTAAAGGGAAATAGTCTGTGAAGCCTAAACCTCCACCCAAATGGTTCTTTTAAAAGCTCATCCACGAATACAGGTGTGGCAGTTTGGCCACTAAACAATCAGCCAATGTGGAAAGCACTGACCTCAGTAGGGGAAAAATGAGTGAAAAAATGAAAAGCTCACAACACTAAATGCTGGCATGAATGTAGAGCAACAGAAATGTTCATTCATTGCTGGTGGGAATGCAAAATGGTGCAGCCACTTTGGAAGACAGTTTGGTAATTTGTTACAAAATTGATATTCTTAACATACAATCTAGCAATTGCACTCCTTAGTGTTTTCCCAAATGAAGTTGAAAAAGTATGTCCATACAAAACGTGCACTTCTATATTGTGTGTCTAGATTTGTGATTTTATAACAAATCAATACCTTTCCCTGTTGGGAAAGCAATCAAGATGTCCCTCAATAGGTGAATGGATAAACAAACTATTGTCCATTCACACAACTGAATATTATTCAGTGCTAAAAAGTAAATAAGTTATCAAGCCACCCAAAGACATGGAGGAACCTTAAATGCACACTACTAAGGGAAAGTAGCCAATTTGAAAAAGCTAGATACTGTATGATTTCAAGTATAAGACACTTTGGAAAATGCAAAACTATTGAGGCAGTGAAATGATCGGGTGGTTGCCAGTGTTTCAGAATAGGGAGGATGAATAGACAGAGCACAGAGGGTTTTGGGGGCAGGTAAACTTTTCTATATGATATTCTATGACTATGGTCCATGTCATTATACATTTATCAAAATCATAGACCATACAACACCAAGACTGAACCCTTATATAAACGATGGACTTTGGGTGATAATGTTGGGCCAATGTTGGTTCAACAGACTGTAACAAATGTACTACTTGGTGGGAGATGTTGATAGAGGAGGAGGCTGTGAGTAGATGGGGTAGAGGGGGATTCTGTATTTTCCACTCCATTTTGCTGTGAACCTAAAATGCTATAACAAATAAAGTCCATGTATTTAAAACAGAATAAGAAAGACAACGAAAAGGAAAGAGAAAAAGAGCTTTAAGAGAATTTACTGGTAAGAGAGAAATTGTTTAGAGAAGATTGTGACCCTCACCTGAGACACAGAGGCTTAGTCCGACCACAGAGAGAACAAAGCCCAGCACCTGAAGGATCAATATGGTGATACTGAAGGAGGACATCCCAATAGCTGGAGCTGCAAGGAAAAAGCATGTTGCAAGTGTTTAAGAAGCAATCACTTCCACTTGTATTTCGTACAGTCAAGGTCAGTATCCTAGGACCGAAGACTGACTCTGGAGCTCCGTGTCAGGTGGTGGCTGCTTTCCCAGTGACCTAAGCCATCTCTCTCCACTCCAGCAGTCAGCTCCACATTCACACCCTCAGCAGCCTTTCATTTCTGCAGGGAGCTGAGCTGCATTGGCAGTTTTTACCCCAAATCTTAGAACAATGCTGCTTTTACCACACGTGGGTATTTCACAATAGGAGTGGCTATTAGCAGGGCCTCATCACATGCACACAAAATCACTCTGATGGAGAACCACTGTGCAAGCATAACCCCTAATTGTGATTTTAGAACAAATTAATACCACCTTAATATATAACAACCCAGAGATAGGCTCTCATACCAAGAGTTAAATGTGCAAATGGAAAAAATAGATTCTTTAATAATAAAAATATTTAGTGATTTAACCCAAAAATGGAGTGAAAAATGTTACCAATTATAGGTTGTTGGATAATAACGTATAACTTGTAAAACTCAGTGTTAATATTTGCAATAACTCTTTATGATTTACAACCCTATTTTGTATAACTAGTTTTTTAAAGAGAGTTTTAGCAAAAGAATGAGAATGTTTAATATTTACTTATAACTTCAAAATCTGAAATAAGAATATGAAGATCATCATTAAGAAATTATATAGTATGATTTTAAAAATCCATTGGCTGGCATTAAATATGTCTCTGAAAATCACTTTTTATAAAATAACTAAGTTAAAAACCTAATATAACATTAAAATTAATCCATTTTGGGAAAAATTTTCACTAAGAATATCTAGGGAGATAAACCAACCTTTATTGTATTATAAAAAAATGCAAGAATTATTTCAATTAAAAAATGCTGCTTTGTAAATCAAAAAGGGAACAATCATGCTAAAACAATAAATACTTACCTATCATAAACATAGAGATCTGAAGTAATATTAATATTACTGTAGAAACTACAATTAAACCAAGTCCACTGGTCCTCTTTGTTGAATATTCACCTATTGATAAATAAAATTAATATTTAAAATATTTTCCTACATACTTCCTACTCTGTGGAAAGATAAAGTACTTAATTTATTAAATGTAATCATCTCAATACTACTCCTATAAACAGCAAAACGTTTAAAAATAAATGCTTCCTCTAAAACCTCACGCAAAATAAGTGACAATATTTTTATTTAAGACCAAACTGAAGACATCTAAATGTCAACATCTAAGTCTCAACTAGTCAAAACCTTCAACTGGCTTTTCCTCCTTCTTAACTACCTTGGAGCCTCTTACCAATCCCTTCATTTGCTATATTCAATCTGTCCTAAAGTCAAAATAGCTATTCTTTGTAGCTGTCTTCTTAATTCATCTCTTTCCTCCCCACACCCTCACTAACTTCAGCTGCAAAGAGAACTGCCAAATTTCTGTTCCTAAACATTACACCCAGATTGTATTTTGTTAATAAAAGGTAGGCTTTCTACATCTACACTTCGAGTCCCAGCCTATCCCTGCTGTTCTTTCCATGTGCTGCATACCCTTATTCCCAAATCCCATTCCCATCCCCCAAAGGCAAATGCAGTTTCAGATTGATTTGTTTCCCATGTTCATTCCCACTTCCATGTCTTGCCTGATGAAGTTTGCCTTTGGAATGGTTAAATGGTGGCTCCAAACATAAGCCTACCTCCTAATTCCCGGAAGCTGTGAACGTTAATTTATAGAGCCAAAGCGGACCATTACATTATATGAATTAGTTTAGGTTCTTGAAAGAAGGAACTTATCCTAGATTAATGAGGTGGGGCCTAAATTCAATGATAAGTGTCTTTGGAAGAGAGATGCACAGGAGTTTTAAGAGTGGAATTGGAGTTATGCTGCCACAAGCCAAGGAGTTGCAGGTTGCCAGCAAACACCAGAAAATGGAAGAAGCAAGGAATGGATTCTCCCCTAGAGTTCCACGCCCCACAATGTTCTCAACCTTATCAACCATGACTTCCCTCATAGTAACTGCACATCTTACCTGGGATGAAGAAAACGGCTCCAACAATAACTAATATACTGAGAACTAGTCCAGCCACAGATAAAATGATGATTTTCTCCTTCATAATATTGGAATTATATTTAAGTACTTGAAAGAAAAAAAACACACAAAGAATTCCATGAACTCAATCTCAAGAAGTGAAGCCATTTCTGTAACTTAAAAAGTGCAGACACAAACTGATAACTTCCTATAATTGAACAACCTTTCAGGAATAACTCAGTTGTATAATGTGCAGCCACCTCAAATCTTTTTCATAAGTCCATCAATGACTAAATAGTGTCACAGCCGTATAAATATGGATGCTGAATTTACGGATGATGCTTTTATTATCTTACAATTTAAAGATGAAGTCATATACACCATGCTTTCTCAATTGGGCCATTACTAACATTAGGGCCAGATAAATCTTTATGGTGGAAGGGGGCTGCTCTGCACATTTAGAAGGTTTAGTAGCATCCCTGCCTCCCTCCAAACTGCATGCCAGTAACAGCCCCAGTTGTATCAATTGTGAAATGTCCCCTGAGGAGTAAAACTGCCTCAGCCTTACAACTGATATAGATAATGCTGATGGGAAATAACTGGCTAATTGGTAATACTGAGAAAAAGAGAACTTTGTTCCACCTTACATAAAATGATAAGCATCTGGAAATCTAGATATTTTATTTTGAAAAACTAGAATAAAATTGGACTAATCACACCCTCTTGATATCCTGAAGGGAATGCTTAAATTGTCCAATTAAAATCTCTCTATATAAAACCCTAATATGCAAATAGACCAAATGGCAGAACAACCAAACAACTGATCACTATGATGTTTGCTGAACACCAGGGGTCATGCGCTGAATGGTGGGGATTGGCAGCACGTGGCAGAGCACAGAACATGTGGGGCATTGGCCGTTGCACGATGGTGGAGCAGGTGAGCAGGGATGCCAGACCAAGGTGGGGCACTGGTTGCTGTCACTGGGGCAAGCCTCTGATGGTTACTGAAAATTCTTTGCTCCTGTGCACCAAGGTCCCGCCGGGTGCTTGCACCTGCTGTCCACATAGGAGCTGCCATTCATATTCGCTGCCAGCACCTGTTGCTAACCGCAATCGCTCAGCGCCATGAGTGGGTGCAAGTGGTGGCTGCAGGCAGGCCCCGATCGCTCCTCAGGGCTTCTCTGCCTCCCCCTGCTTTTGAGGGGCGATCAGGACTGGCAGCCACCACTGCATGGACTGCCAGAGCCGGCCCCACTCGCACCTGCAGCCTGCGCCAGAACCGCTACTCGCATCGGCTGCCAGGTCCCAGCGCCATTCCTGATCGCTTGGCACTGTCAGCGGGTATGAGTGGTGGCTGCTGCCCCAGTCGCCCGCTGAAGGCTCCTCCACCTCCCTCTGCTCCTGAGGGGTGATCAGGGCAGCAGCCACCGCTTGCACCTGCTGACAGTGTGGAGTGATTGGGGCCAGCGCCAGCAGTGGATGTGAGCGGGCCGGTGCTGTCAACCTGTGAGAGTGGGGGTGGTGGGAGTGGGGCTACCGGTAGACAAGGGACCAGGAAGGGCCAGGCAGGGGCACAGAAGATGTGCTGAGACCTGCCTCTGTGCCCACCGCAGCCTAGCAGCCCACAGTTTCTTTCAAGGTGCACAAATTTGTGCACTAGGCCCCTAGTAATTTTATAAAAATAAACTACAAATACTCAACAGGACTCATTGGCCCTATTTTCAAGTACCTGGTACCTTATGAAAAGAATAATCTAATGGATATGTCTAAAAATATTATTTCTTTTACTATATCTTCACCTTAGGGGTGTTGTTTTGATTAATTGTAAAATTAACTTTTTACCATAAAAGTTGTTCAAAGTAACCTAAAAACAGACTTAGTAGCAGAGAGAAACAGTGCATGACTGAAATTCTATTTTGTTTTATCCAGGCCACAAATTAGTATCTTGAGAGGGCAATTTAAAAAAATGTTATATTTAGCATTAAATTTGCTTCCAATAAAATGACAAACAGATTAAATACAGTAAGAACAACAAATAGTCCCCTAAATGACCATGCTAACATCTATTTTAAGGTATTATAACCAAAGGTTATATGATAACCAATGGCACCTGAAACACTACATATTCATACTTTAGATTGTAAACCTCCACTTTATTCTCATTAGGGGGGATGGAGAGGTAATCAATCATCAATCCTGAAGCTGAGTAACTGAAATCCACACTAATCAGCAAAGAGTGAAAAACAATATGGCAAGTTCCCCAAGCTTTCATTTGATCAATCCAGGCTTGGAACTTACCCCTCAGTTGCATAAGTTGTGACCATGACTCAGTCACGTCCCTGACTTAGAATAGGGCACAGATTCCCTATTTTCTAGACTCAAACACTAGTGAGGATAAAATTCAGTGTATAGGTTACAAAAGGCATAGACATAGATAGAAAAATAAACTTTCCAGTGGTTCTCAACCTTCCTAATGCCGCGACCCTTTAATACAGTTCCTCATGTTGTGGTGACCCGCAACCATAAAATTATTTTCGTTGCTACTTCATAACTGTAATTTTGCTACTGTTATGAATTGTAATGTAAATATCTGATATGCAGGATGTATTTTCAGGGGTCACGACCCACAGGTTGAGAACAGCTGCCTAGACATATGTCAAGTTTTTCATTCAATTCAATGCATATTGTTATCTAAATAGAGCTTGAAAGTTCTACAAAAGGGTTATGAAACAGAAGCTGTTTCAAATGCACCTCACAATTAAACATTTAAAAGACACTCTCCCAGGCTTAATTGAATGCATAAAAGAACTACTAAGATCAAGCAGCAAGAATTCACCTTTAGGGTACAGTAGAAGTTCATGCAAAAAGGCTGACTTAATAAGAGTTTGATTCTCATATAAAATTCAACCTCTTCAGGCTTACCAACAGTAACAACAAAAATAAAACACCATAAAATACTATGATTGACAGTGTTTTACTATAGAACAACCTTTTCAAAACCTTTGCATATAAATATTGGAGGTAGTTTTAGTTTCTGTTGATGGGTTCAACTACTAAATATTTTCAAGGCTACTTCCAACTCCCATAAGTTAAGCAACTATTTCTAACAAATATATTAGTGAAATATACTTAAATAATCACAGGCAGTGAAAGAGGATCTATCTCCCTCCATGTTTTGTTTAGGGAATCATTTAAAATTAGTTTCTTTTGACTCACTTCCTTTGCCACAGTGGCCACATTTTAGCATATCCCACAGAAAGTGGGGAGAAGGTATTTTGTAGTCCAGTTGTCATTTTTTTCAGTGTAGAGAAAAGGGTTTGCAATCTGATATATACACCATAGAACTCAGTAATCACAAGGAACCTTTTTTGGTGATCTTTATTTGTCCTTTAATAGGTATATTTATCCTTATTTGTCACATCTATAAAAATTTTAAATATAAACAAAGAAAATAAATTCAAGTAACTCCACAAACACTTGGCATTAAGATAAAGATAATTTAATGTGTTCTTTTAAAAAAATATATTTTATTAATTTTCTTACAGAGAGGAAGGGAGAGGGACAGAGAGTTAGAAACATCGATAAGAGAGAAACATCGATCAGCTGCCTCCTGCACACCCGCTCCTGGGGATGTGCCTGCAACCAAGGTACATGTCCTTGGCCAGAATCGAACCTGGGACCCTTGAGTACGCAGACTGACGCTCTATCCACTGAGCCAAACCGGTTAGGGCTTAATGTGTTCTTAATGGGCTCTTATCAAACTTCTTAGTATGATTTTCAGGCTTTTTGGCAAGACTATGTAATTTTAAAAATATCTATGCTTTAAAACATTCCCCTCAACTAAAAGTATTGAAATCGATACAGAAAATAAAATATGAGAAATAGCATTATTTACACATTTTAAATACTTTTAAAGCACTGTTTTAGATTACAACAAAATTTAGAGGAGGTAAAGACCACCCCCCTATACTCCCTGCCCCCACACATGAATAACTCCCCCATTATCAACATCAGCCACCAGAATGATGCAATTTTTACCAAGATGAACCTACATTGACATATCATAATTACCCAAAGCCCATAGTTTGCCTTAGGGGTTGTACATTCTATGGGCTTGGGCAAATGCAAAATTACATCTATCCATCATCATAGTATCATACAGAATATTTTCACTGCCTTAAAAATCCTCTGTGCTCTGCCTATGCACTCTGCCTGCACCCACTTCCAGGAATGACTGATCTTTTCATTGTTTCCACCGTTTTGCCTTTTCCAGAATGTCTTGTAGTTGGAAACATACAGTATGTAGCCTTTTCAGATTGGCTTCTTTCACTTATTAATATGCATTCAAGATTTCTCCATGTCCTTTCATAGCTCGATAGCTCATTTCTTTTTGTCTGGGTGTATCACAGTGCATGTTGCCACTCACCTACTGAAAACATCTTGGTTGCTTTCAAGTTTTGGCAGTCATGTATAAGCTGCTTTAACTATCCATGTGCATAAGTTTTCAACTCCTTTTGGATAAATACCAATGAGCACAATTGCTGTATCATCATATAAAAGATAATTTTGTAAGAAATTGCCAAACTGTCCTCCAGAGTGGTTGTACCATTTTGCTTTCCCACCAGCAATGGAAAAGGTTCCTGTTGCTGCACATGCTCACCAGCATGTGGTGTTGTCAGTGTTTACATTTTTTAAAATATATTTTATTGATTTTTTTACAGAGAGGAAGGGAGAGGGATAGAGAGCCAGAAACTTCGATGGAAACATCGAGCTGCCTCCTACACCCCCTCTACTGGGGATGTGCCCGCACCCAAGGTACATGCCCCTGACCAGAATCGAACCTGGGATCCTTCAGTCTGCAGGCCGATGCTCTATCCACTGAACCAAACCAGTTAGGGCAGTGTTTACATTTGTAAACAAAACTTATAACCTTAGTGCTACCTGACACAGGAAAACCAAAATCATTGGGAGACAATATTAGATTTTTGTGAAAAAAATTAAAAATTCTAAAGTTTTCCTTTTTATACTATCTATAAAATAACTAAATCTAGCCAGCTACATCTCAGAGTGAGCTAGGTTGCTTCCTTCATTTATTCTACAAATATTTA